AGATAGATAGATAGATAGATAGATAGATAGATAGATAGATAGATAGATAGATAGACAGACAGATAGATATGATGGATGCATGAGATAGATAGAGATAAATAAATAGAAATGATGGATAGATAGATATAGATAGATATGATGGATGGATAAGATAGATAGAGAGAGAGAGAGAGAGACAGACAGAGAGAGATGATAAGTGGGTAGATGGTTAGATGGTTGGATGGATGGATGGATGATGGATGGATGGATGATAGATAGATGAGAGAGAGAGAGACAGGCAGACAGATGGAAAGAGGGAGAGAACAGTCAACAGTTTAAGCTAAACATAACACTACTCTTCGAATCCCTCCGTTAACTGAAACCAAGGCCTCTGTGCAGCATCGATTCACAACACAGGAGGGCGAGTGAGGGTGACCTTGGGAGACCATTTGGATCGAAATCTCTCGCCTTGCAACCCCGCCAACCTCTCTTCCTTTGGTGTGTTTCCTCCCCTCCCAAAAGATGCTCCAAGCCTGCCCGTGATGACCTCTTTCCTGGAGACCCAAGGTGGACACCTGGGCATCATCCAGTGCACAGTGGACAGCGACCCTCCCTCGGAGATCGCTCTGTACAAGGGCGACATCCTCGTGGGTTCCAACAGCCTCGTCCAGCTGGTCACCGACCCCAGAATCCGGGTGACCTCCTCGCCTAACGCCCTGAAGGTGACCATCCAGGAGCTGAGGTTGGACGACGAAGGAGAATACGTGTGCTCGGCTCAAAACCGCTACGGAGAGACCATGACCACCATGGAGTTCACTGCAGAAAGTGGGTCAACGGGAGTCTTCCTCCCCACTCTGGTTAGGGGGCGAACCTGAGCAGAACACGGGGATAGAATGGCTGGCTCCGGAGCCGTTCTGCAAAAATGGCAAAGGCAATTATGGGATGCATTCATAAAAATGTAACTCCTAAATTGTGGCTTGTCAGGAGGAGGAGAAGGAGGAAGAGGAGGAAGAGGAGGAAGAGGGGAAGGAGGAAGAGAAGACAGAGATGGGAGAAGGGTGGGGGAGGACTGTGTCCTCTGAGCTTAATGGGATTGGGGGTTTTTTTTGCAGACATTTCATTACCCAACTAGGTAACATCATCAGTGCTAGAAGGGAATGGGGTTTGCAAGGAGGAGGAGGAGGAGGAGGAGGAGGAGGAGGAGGAGGAGGAGGAGGAGGAAGGACTGTGGGGTCCTTGGTGCTCTCTGAGCTTGGTGGTTTTCTTGCAGACGTTTCATTACCCAACTAGGTAACATCATCAGTGCTAGAAGGGAATGGGATTTGCAGAGAGGGGGAGGGGAGGGGGAGGATGAGAGGGAGGGGAAGGAGGGGGAGGGGAGGGGGAGGATGTGGGGGAAGGACTGTAGGATCTTTGGTCTTCTCTGAGCTGGGTGGTTTTCGCGCAGACCTTTTATTACCCAACTAGGTAATGCCATGAATGTTAGAAAGAAGTGGGGTTTGCTCTCTATTTATATATAGTGACTTGCCCTCCCGCCGACACGTTATATAAACTGTCCCCTCCCTTCTAGCACTGATGTTGTTACGTAGTTGGGTAATAAAACATCTGGAAAAAAAACCCACCAAGCTTAGAGAGCAGCAAGGGACCTATATGTGCCGCCCTCCTCCTCCTCCTCTTCCTCCTCCTCCTCCTCCTCCTCCTCCCCCTCCCCTTCTCTGCAAAGTCACACCCTTCTAACACTGATGTTGTTATCTAGATGGGTAATAAAATGTCTGCCAAAAAAAAGACATACCAAGCTCAGAGAGCACCCAGGATCCCTCAGACGGGGGAAAAGCTTCCTCAGAATTGATATTGAGCGACACCTTCGCTTCCCTTCTTCCCTTCCCTTCTTCCTCCACCCACCCACCCGACCTCCAGCCGCCAGCATCTCCATCACCCCGTCTCCGGAGGTCCACGAAGGTGACGCCGTCCGTCTCTCCTGTACTCTCAGCGGGAACCTCCCAGCCTCGGCCAACTTCTCCTGGTTCAAGGAAGGTCTCCTTCTGCCGGGGGTCTTCGGGGATTCCCTGCTCTTGGAACACTCGGCCGTGAGGGACGCCGGAGCATACAAATGCCGAGTGGAATATCCCGGAGCCAGCAAGATCTCCAGCTCAGCCTCACTCTCTGTGTTGTGTAAGACCACCCCCCTTGGCCTTCCCCGTTTTTACTCAAAACGACATACACGGGTTGTCCTCGAAGTACAACCGTTCGTTTGTTGAACGGCAGGCTGGGCTGCTGGAGGGGTTCAGAGAGGTTCGGGAGAGCCCCTAGTTAAGATTCTGCGCAGTTCGGAGAACCGCCCCCCCCCCCCAAATTGCACTCCGGGCGGGCCCCCCCCCCCCCTTCCCCCCCCCTCCCAGGAGTCCCCACATGACCCATTTGGGATGCAGGGAAGTGCAGGGGGTGCGCGGAGGCTCAGGGAGGGTGAAAAACGGGCCTCCCGGAAGTTCGAGAAGGCCGAAAATGGGCCTTTTCCAGTTTTCAAAGAGCCTCCTGAGCCTGGGGAAGCTGCTTTCGCCCTCCTGGAGGCCTCAGGAAAGCCTCTGGAGCCTGGGGAGGGCAAAAATGGACTAGGCCCGTAATGGTGAACCCTTGGCCATTTGGCCATTTGTGTGGGCACGCAAGACCCAGCCAAACATACCCGCACTGCGCATGCGTGCACCTCCCAGCTGATTTTCGGCCCGTTTGAGGCCATTTTCGCCCTCCCAGAGGCTCGAGAGGCCGAAAACGGGCCTTCTGGAAATACCAGAAGTGCCTAAACGGGCCCATTTTCGGCCTCCTGAGACTCCCGAGGCTTCCCTCAAGCCTCCAGGAGGATGAAAATGGCCACAAACGGACCGAAAATCATACTCGTATTTATGATGGTCGTGGTGTCCCCCTGGGGGGGGGTGTCACATTACACCCCCCCTTTTGCGACCTGACAAGAAAAGCCAATGGGGAAAGACCCATTTGCTGAACAACCATGTGACTAACTGGAATGGCGGCAGGCGTTCGTTTAACAACTGTAGCTGAAGAAGCTTCTGGGATGAGAAGCGATGATCATCGGAGCTAGTAAAATACCACCGCTAGCCTCTGCCTTTTCCTGTCCTATATTTCCTTTGTTTGTTGCTCAGCTGATAGGCACAGCAGAGCAGATTGCCACAACTCAGCTGTTTTACTTACCAGCGCTGACAGTAAGGCAGGTTTTCACGCTTAAGAGTGCCCGTTTTAGAACACTCCGCACTCGCGAAGTATTTTAGAACGCTAAGCACGCGTCCGCAGAACCGGGAGTTAAAATATTTTGAATTCCACCCCTGGATGTGACCCTGATGTGTGCCCTCCAATCGTGAGTAGTTGCCATTAAAAAAGGGTGCGGGGGGGGGGAGGAAGGGAATCTGGAAGAGCGGTGCAGCAGTTGGAAAGCGGGAGTACATTCCAACTCTTATCTTTAAAAGATTGTAGCTAAACTACCAGAGCTTTTGCCCGGGAATATATTTAATTGGAGAATGTGATTGATGACACCCAGCCTGTAATTGGGGTGTGTGAATGATGACACCCAGCCTGTGAATGTGCTTCATTGGAGAATCTGATTTATGACACACCCATGGGGGAGGGGGGAAAGAGGGTCACGGGGGACTGTAAATTATGTATGCCAGAGTTGACTTGCTATCAGGATTCCAGCAATCACTCTAATTAAATCAGGATTCTCAAGCCAAACTTCAAAAACTTCAAAGCATTTATTAGAGGCGACATGCAGGGCAGTGCCAGTACGTTGCCTCTAATAAATCCTTTGAAGTTTTTTTCTTTTTTTTTGAATTTGGCTCGAGACTCATGATTTAATTAGAGCGATTGCTGGAATCCTGACAGCGGATTCCCGCATCTCAGCTGTTTTGCTTACTAGCGCTGATGGTAAGGTCAGTTTTCATGCTTAAGAGAGCCCATTTTAGAATGTGAAGCGCATGCCCACAGAACTGGTAGTTAAAATATTTTGAATTCCACCCCTGGACGTGACTCTGATGCGTGCCCTCGAACTGTGTGCCTTCTGCACTTGCTGGCCTTGCGTTCCCACCTGAAGTCTGTCTGTCAACTCATAAAACATTCCTATGCCTGTTTATTAATTGCCATTAAAAAAAAAGGGGGGGGGAGGAAGGAAAACTGGAAGAGCAGTTTGAAAGCAAAAGTACATTCCAACTCTTATCTTTAAAAGATTGTAGCTAAAATACCAGAGCTTTTGCCCGGGAATATATTTCATTGGAGAATGTGATTGATGACACCCAGCCCCGTGAATGTGCTCAGTTGGAGAATCTGGTTTATGAGACACCCAGAGGGGAAACAGGGTCACAGGAGACTGTAAATTATGTATGCCAGAGTTGACTTCTGTCATGCCCTTGTAGGAGTCTGATCCTGAGGGGGAGATTGAGCAGCTGACAGGGAGAGGGAATGTGGCTCCAGGGCCTATGGAAGAGATAAGGGAAGGGCACAGTCCGGCTGGGCATTCAGAGGAAGACCCAGGCCAACCCCCTCTTCCTCCTAGGGCATGCAGGGAGGAACGGAGAAGGGAGCAACATGGCTTACGGGAGAGAAAAAGGCCCTGATCCATTTCATTAGTGGCAGCCGGGAGAACAGGATATAAGTGGGGCATTTGCACACATCTCCTTGCTGGAAGCAAAGCGTGCATGATCTTGGTCGAGGTTTTTGGAAGAGTTTGATCTCCCGCCGAGGATAATTGGACATTGGAGGCATTAAAGGGGATTTATTCTACTTTTCTGACTTTGTTATTTGTGTGTCATGCCCCGGGTCAACGCAGCTTCATACAGGGCAGTGCCAGTATGCTTAATAGATCCTTTGAAGTTTTTTGAAGTTTGGCTCGAGAATCATGATTTAATCAGGGTGATTGCTGGAATCCTGACAGCGTCGCCCTAAGTAGGGATGCTCTTTGGTTTCAGATGCCCCGAGGAATCTCCGGGTGTCTGTTTTCACGGAGAGCGAGCGGGGAACCGTGGCCATCTTCCAGTGCTCCGTGGACAGCCATCCTCCAGCCACCTGGGTTCTGCGCAAAGGAGATGTCGTCTTGGCCAGCAGCCACCCAAAGAACGATTCGGCCTCTCATCGGATCAGCGTCACAACCGGACCCAACACCATGCGAGTGGAGATGTCGAGGGTTGTGCCGGAAGACGAAGGGACCTACAACGTTACGGCCACCAACGCGCACGGCGCCGCCTCCAGACAGCTGTACTTCCGGGTGCAAAGTGAGGGCCAGCTTTGTTAGTCACTCTTGCAGCGGGAGCTTTGGGGCGGGGGGTGAATGCCAAACCCACACGCCTTCACAGGTAGTCCTCGACTTACGATGGTTCATTTAGGGATTGTTCAGTTACAACGGTGCTGAAAAAAATGGACCTGGGACCGTTTTTCACTCGTAAGACCGCTGTGGCGTTCTCCTGTGGGTCTCCGTGGTCAAAGCTGGGACGCTGGGCAACGGGCTCAGACTTGTGACAGTTGTTGCAGTGTCCCTGAGGGGAGTCAGGGGGGGTGTCACATGATCCTCTTGGGTGAGCTTCTGGCCAGGAAAGTCAGTGGGATTCACTTCTCAGCTGCATGTCCCTTAACAGCTGCAGGGGTTCAATGAACAATTGGGGCAAGGAACATCGTAAAAAATGGGGCAAAATTTCACTTAATGACGGTCTCGCTTCCCAACTGAAATTTTGGGCTGAGTTGGGGTCGTAAGTCAAGGAATAAGTGCATTACGGTCTTTGAACAGCCTTTACGATTTAATAGCAATTAGATAGAGATAGAATGAGATAAGATGGATGGATGGATGGATAGATAGATAGATAGATAGATAGATAGATAGATAGATAGATAGATAGATAGATGGAGATAGACAAAGAGACAGACAGACAGACAGATAGATGATAGATAGATAAGACAGGAGAGAGAGGGAGAGGGAGAGAATTTCCCCTTTGCTTCCGGTCATTTACTTCCTTCCCTTCCCCTTCCCTTCCCCCTACCTATTCTCCTCCTCCTCCTCCTCCTCCTCCTCTTCTTCTTCTTCTCCTTCTCCTCCTCTTCCTCCTCCTCCTTCTTTCTCCTCCTCCTCCTCTTCCTCCTCCTCCTCCTCCTCTTCTCCTTCTCCTTCTCCTCCTCTTCCTCCTCCTTTCTCCTCCTCCTCCTCTTCCTCCTCCTCCTCCTCTTCCTCCTCCTCCTCCTCTTCTTCTTCTTCTTCTTCTTCTTCTTCTTCTTCTTCTTCTTCT